AGACAGCCTCTTCCCAATATGCGTTTTTGCAATTTGCATATATGCAAAAACGCATAAAAACTCATAACGATAGTGAGGGTTTGCTTATTTTTGATCCTGTCGGCTAGAGCCTAACGTTTTCGAGCTGGAAGTTCTGTTTTTCAGAGGAGCCCACCATTCCTTTCGAGTGCCTTCTTTTAACTAAGTTTTGCATTTTTCCCGTTAGTTTTTTGCTTGTAATTCCACTTTTTTCAAGTGAAATCACTTTTGGCACGCTAAAGTGAAAAGAGGAATGGCAGTTCACTGGTTTCCTTCATTCCTCCAGCCCTGTAGAATGCTCGATTATGAGCTTAGCAGTAGTACTTCTGGACTTCATTTATACTCGTTTGGATGTTTGGATCAGTTGTAATTCACAGCATCAACTTCTTAGCTGTCTAGTCGTTTCGGCCAATGTCTGCATCGCCTGCTGGTTGATCTGTTGGCGATCCTCATGTTTGTTTCGTTTCCTGTAGTGTGTGTTAAGCTGCACTATTATTTCACGAGTGGCGCCACTCCTAGACCAGTTAAGACGAGTTACTAACTTGGAATTCATTTATGCTAGTTGGGAAAAATTCTTTTTGCTATCATATGTTTTTATTTTGGTGATTAGCTTTAGCCGTTATATTCATTAAGTCGTTTTAATTCATAAGCAACATTATCCGAGCAGAAGCACCTTCGAAGATTGAAAAGGCTGTTAATTAACTATACTGTAAAATTGCTTAGCAATTAATGAAGCTCGAAGAAATGCTATAAAATCCGGTGCATTTGCGAATAATTTCAGAATTTGTTAAGATCATGCTGTGCTATAATATAAATTAGTTTTTGCGAAGGCCTTAGGGCAATAACTTTCTTCATAGTGGAAAATTCATTTGGTTGCAAAGAGGGTATTCTTTTAAAGGACAGTTTTTGAAAGGACAAGTACTAGGGCTTTCAAATCATTCTTCAAGAAAATGAAAAGGAAGAAGTAAGAAACTTCCGCAGAAGTCAAAATGAGAATCATCCGGAGCAGATAGCTGAATATTGGACTGCTTTCTTCATTTACATCCTTCTCTTTGTTTTTTTATCGTGTTCTGCTTCCTTTTAAAGCACATAGGAAGAACATTAGTTGTAGTTAAATTTTTTGGCATTTTGATTTTTGAAATTTATTCTGTCAAATATAGTAATAGTAGTAGTAGCAGCAATAGTAGTGGTAGCAAAAACAGCGCACCAGCAGTAGTAGTAGCAGCTTGATGCTCACTTTGATGATTGCTTTGTACGAGAAGGAAAATTGCTTTTTTGCGGAACTAATAGCTGCGAGCAACACGGGATATCCTTGACTTGTCCGCTGCACTGTCTTCACTTTAGTTCTCGAGTGGATTGGAATTTCGGGATGCAGCTAAATGCAGCTTCAATTTTTATAAGCAATTTTCTTCAGTGAATTCAAATTTGCAGCAATTATTCTAGTACCTTTTTCAATGATTTTGCATGTTCGCGCACTTTGAACATTCGATTTCGTTATTGAGACAATCAGTTTTTTCACGATCTACTCATCTCGTTGTGAGGTAAATTGGTACTGGCCCATACCATGGAACTAAAACTGCCATCAGCTTGCTTTTAAGCAACCATCGGTGAAGGAGCCATCGACAGCGTGCCAACGGATAATTCCTGTTGATACTTTTGCCCCATTCGGGATTCTTCCGAGTGTCTCCACTCTTAGAGAGAAAGAATACTGAAAAGTTTTCTTCTGAACAGCCGTGATATTGGTAAAGTTCAATGAATTTGACCTCGCTTTGCTGAAAATTTTTAGATATTACTTGCTCATGGGTGATGTCTGCGAAAAAATAAATAACTACTAACTGGATGACCTCCGAAAAGGTAGAGAGCAAATACATCGAACTGGCGGTGACTGCTAATTGAGGGTATTCAACTTAGGATCGAAGGGCTTGGCATAGCTGCGCTAGGCATATGGGTGCATCCTGGTAACACTATTTACGTGGGGCGCCCAGTTTCATGAAAGTTCCGCGAAAAGCCGGCAACCGTTGAAAGGTATTTTGCATACAGTGCAGCAGCCAGACGACACATATACCATACATATAGAATATAGGCGCATTATATGAGAACGTAAGGGCCGGTGGTGCAGTGGTTTAGCAGACTGCCCTAGGAAGTCAAGGTGCGTGGTTCGGTTTGTTTTCGAACAACGAACCATCTCGCAGACGGAGTGCACATCTGAAAACCCAGGCTGGAACGCACCAGGCGATTCGGTGCGATCATGTGATCTTTACACCAAACTTGAAGTAATTAGGTTAACTGCATGTGCGGTTGTTTTTTCACACCTACCTTGCACGCTCAGTACCGTAAATCATCGTAAATTTTGCATAAAAGGAAACAAAAAATTTCTGTTTAGCAGTCATCTTTTGAAAATGACCGAACTGTTCAGTGAATAATTTTCCCGCCAAAAATTTAAGTACCCATACGCGAGGATCATGCATAAATGGAGGCTGAATTTGAAACCTTTAAGACGGGGAATATTGGACGAGGAATATTCTCCTAAAATCTCAGCTTTCCAGCTTGTTCGAATTGGCAATTTTTCCGCCAAAACTTTCACAAGGCCGCATGTGACCTGAAAGCATACCTGGGGTTGCATTTGGAATCTTCAAGTTGTATGTGGGCTGGGAATATTCCTTAAATATTTCAGCGTCCCAGCTTTTCTAGTTCCCGAGTTAACCATTTTCCCATCAAAGAATTTCGCGGGGCCACACGTGAGAACCACGTACGACTGGGAGCTGAATTTGATAGGTTTATGTTGTACTTACGCTGGGAACATTCCCTGAAAATTTCAGCCTTCCAGCTTTTCTGATTCCCAAGTTACAGATTTTCGCGCCAAAAATTCCTATGGGGCCGTACATGACAGCCACGCATCCCTGGGGCTGAATTTGATAACTTTACATTGTTTTGTGCTTGGAACATTCCCTGAAAATTTCAGCCTCCCAGTTTTCCTGGTTTCCAAGGTAGCAATTTTCGCGTCAGGGCAACCATGCAAGCCCGAGGGCTGAATTTGAAGTCTTTGAGTTCTACGTGGGCGGAGGACATAATCTCAGAGTTTCAGCCTTCTAGCTTCTCGCGTTTCCGAGTTAGCAATTTTCCCACCAAAACTTTCACTCTCTCGTACGCGGGACCCCGACTTGTGTTAGGGCTGGAATCGCGGTTCTGGGGTAGCAAGCTGCCGGGGAACCCACTAGCAAAATTTTGGCACTGGAACTTACTTGGCTGCAGACTTCAAATACTCGGATAGACGAACACACACATACACACAGACAGGGTCATTGCAATGTGCGTTTTTGCGTATGTGTGTGTGTTCGTCTTCCACAACTGCTTGCCGGCTTTTCGTGGGATCCATTTTGCCCTGGCAACTTGCCATTTTTAGCATTTTTGCAGTCTGCTATGTTTGGCATTGTTCGATTGTCAGAGCGTTGCATTTTTGAGCATGATCGAGCACAACAGCGCAAAAACTGCAAGCTGCAGGCTTCGTATGAGGAAAAAAGTGTTATGTTATCGTTTGTGCTGCATTTCATTCTGGTGCATGATGTCTTGGATGAAAAGAAGTTATCTCTAAATTGGCGACTGATATCGAATTTCGAAAAGAGCAAAGCAGGTGCAGGAAAACGGATGTGCTGTAC